TTTATGAACTATCAAGGGCTCATGAGGGAGGGGGGAGCGGGGAGGGAGGGGGAAAATGAGGACCTAATGTCAGGGGTTTGAGTGGAGAGAAAATGTTTTGAGAATGATGTACAAATGAGCTTTACACAATTGATGTGTGTATGGATTGCGATAACAGTTGTATGAGCCCCTAATAAAATGTTTAAAAAAAACAAAGAAATTGAAGAAAGAAAAAAAAAGAAAACCAGCCAACAACAATCCTAAATTGCATTTTTTATAGATGTCTTTTAAAACTTGGCTAATAAGACAAATAAGGAACAAATGATTTTTGGTTCTTGATTTTACTGGCTTTTTTTATTTCTTAAAGTAAGCAGTGTCTCTTTCATTGAATGAAATTTTACCAATGGTTAGTCTATAATGTAAAGTAGACACACTGGTTATGTTCTTTAAATATTGAAATGGACAAGATAATTGAAGTTTCTAAGATTTGCAATCATTACAAGCACAGTAAATAGGATTCATAATGATTTCATTACTCTGGTCACAAGCATTTTATTGTTAATTTGGCATTTTGAATCTTTTATATGTAAATCTGAACCACTCTGCCCAAATTTCAATGTCTCTTGGATATCATATTTTCTCCAGCTATACCTACTCTCAAATTTCCCATGTGCCAAGGGCATGTCTTGTTGCTATGAGGCACATTGAGGCATTTCCAAGGGAATGAAGCACTGCAGACCCTTGGCCAGCCTCACGGTTGCTGTTAGTGGAGCCCGTTGCTGCGGTCACTGTGTCAATCCCTCTTATTGAGAGTCTTCTTTGTGGTGCTGTGGTTGACCCTCCAGATGACCAAGCATGATATCTTTTTCCAGTGGCTAGTCTTTCTTGATAACATCTCAAAGTACTTTTCTACTTAAAAAAACCCACCTATTTGTTTCCCAAATAAAAGTTTGATAACTTTAGAACATATTGTTACCTGCGAAAGTATTTTATATTAAACTTGGTTACTTTGGAAGTTATTTAACACTAGCTAAGGATCCTTGATGGCCCAGTGGGTTAAGCATCAGGTCAGGTGTTAAAATTCACCAGCAGCTTCAAGAGGGAAAGATGAGCCAATCCGTTCGCATAAAGTCTAATAGTAGGTAATGCAGATAGAGGAGTTCTATTGGGTCAATATGAGTCCTATGAGTTGGAATCAAGTCAATGGCAATGAATTTAGTTTTCAACCTTTAAGGTATGTAAGATTTGATTCTAGACCTAGGCTTAAAGCTGCTACCAATCTAAACCACTTGCCAGTGAATTGACCTTGATGCATGGTAACCCCACATGTGTCAGTATAACTGTGCTCCCTGGGGTTTTTTCTAGCTGCTTTCTCAAAAGCTTATTGGCAGGTCTTTTTTCTAAGGAGCCTGTGTTTAGCAGTAGAGCATTTAGATTTGTACCACCCAGTGGTCTCTTACGAAGCAACCAACCCACTGCCATTGAGTCCATGCCAGTTTATCTCAATCTTAAGGCTAATGGTAGAGTCGGTTATGCGTTAGGCTGTTCACCAAAAGGTGAGCATTTCGAAACCACCAACCGCTCCACAGGAGAGAGACGAGACTTTCTGCTCCAGGGGAGACTGAACCGCAGACACCCACAGGCGCAGTTCTACTCTGGCCTATCGGGTTGCTGTGCATCAGAACTGACTTGATGGCAGAGATTTTGGTTTGGTTTGAAGGCTAACAGCAGACTGCTTTAAGTGTCTTGTTGTTTTATTTGTACTTTGGTTTGGGTGCCCTTTAATATAGTGAGCTGAGTTAGTAAAAATTGTTGAAAAATAGTGGCTATCAACAAAGATATATCTGTTCACTTGGAGCAAGAACGGTTTTTGTATGTGTGTGTTTGTTTATCAAATGAAAGGGCTTGTCTGTCTAATCATGACTATAAACCACAGTGAGCAGGGAAAGAGGACACATGCTTCCGATAATGTCATGAAGCACGTATAACTTTGAATCCCTGACAAGATGAGAAATTGAAGAAGAAAAATCAGGACGATCTCATAAAATTATATATTTTAAAATTCTAAATAAAACATTAACATAATTC